GCAAAGTCAATGATTTGCTCATGGAACAAAACAATGTTATGATATATAGGAGGGTGAACAATAGCAGTATATGGTTGAAACTATGAGAAAGTTACAGTAAATAATGATAAAAGGTTAACGAGAAGATATGGGTCACCAAAACTGATACCCCTATTCTCACCTGTCTCAATTCAAACAAAAGCAAAGTCTATATTTTAGTAAGGAAAAACCCTAAAAAAAATTCCGATCAAAAGAAAATAGGAGAAATATTTTACATATCGATTTAAACGGTAAACATATTAGAACGTTTCAACTAATCTAAGAAGGATGTTTTGAGGAGTACGGATCCTAAATGTTTACCCGACAATTCAAACAGTCAAAGTCCAATCAAAACATAATGGGAGGTGAACAAAAGCCTTATATAATATAGATGCTAAAAAATTTACATTTATCTTCAAAAGATACACCATGAGAGTACAATCTATAAAATATTCACTAAATTAAGAGTTCTGTCAAGCGTTTTTTTGTAGCAGACGCGGATATTAAGATCGAACAGAAGGTTTGACGGACTCATTACAACTATATTCCGCTCGTATTAGAAAGAAGGTAGGTGGAGGTGGAGTATAATAAAAAAAAAACACGGATCCAATTGAAACGTAAAGTTATGTTTGAAATTTATATATTTGATGTCTTGGGGTTAAAGTAAGAAAACAAAAGGTTCGAAACCACACTGGAATGTTCATTTTTGAATTGTCAAAACATTACACGGAGACAATTTGAACCTGCCGAAACAAAAGAAAATGATTTAAATTTCTTGTGATCATTATTGTAAAGTTTAACTGTTTGACGTTGACAAGCTTGATTTAGTTCAGGAGATCCAAGCTGGGATTTCTATAATTGTTTATTAAATATGCCCTGGTTAAATGTGTATCCTATCACAACAATCTTTTGAATTCAAACAATATACTTAAACTAATCGTAAACTAAACACTTGTTAAAATGCCGATATATCACTATCAACTTATCATGCTTTGTGTGGACAAATGAAAATTTTGTCTGGTATACAACCAGTCTCCATTTGACAAAGGGAAGTAATTTGTTTTAAAAGTGTGCAATAACTGAATCATATGGGTAATTGGCAAATGGAATATTGAATTGAAAAATTTAATGTTTTTTTTTTAATTTCATAGGGGTTTGAAAGCGTTGACCGAATCACTTTGTGTATGAAGCGCTTACACTTAAAATGTACAAACGCGCGTACGATCGACGTTTTTTAACCATATAGAATACAAGAAGAAGCAGTCAACCCCATTCTTGAACTGTCATATCAGTCTATAATTGTCTTGAAATGCTTCTCTTTTGTATACATGTGGGTGACATATTTAATTATAAATAAAGCATATGAGGATGAAAGATTTGTCCTCAATCTAACAGTCGATGTACAGTCCTGAAATATTATGTATATTACTTCCTGTACACTTCTAGGTTTATCATTTGATAAAAGCGAACACTTGGAAATCGTGCATAGTTGAAGTATTCACGGTCAGTGTTGTGTTCAAATTGGTAGATCAAGGTTCTTTGATACTAGTATTCAATTGTTATTGTTGGCATATGTTTATGTATAAACATATGCCAACATATCTATCTAATACAATTTAAGTCATTGACTTCAACTTTAACATTGAACCATGAAGAGTCACATATTATAAAGCTGTAAAAAGAGCTGGAGTTGAAGGCGATAATGTGAATAAAAAAATCATTAACCAGATACAAAACAGTAAAATCACAAAAATACTGAACTCCGAGGAAAATTAAAAAAACGGAAAATCCCTAATCAAATGGCAAAATTAAAAGATCAAAAACATCAAACGAATGGACAACAACTGTCATATTCCTGACTTGGTACAGGCATTTTCTTCTGAGAAAATGGTGGATTAAATTTTTTTAGCCATGACGTTGTCAGTTTATTTTTGATCTAATATTATGAGTTTGAATTTCCCTCTTTCATCTTTCTCCCCTCTTTAAACTAATTAGTTTGAAATCATGGTCTGGTGGTGAGAAAAGAGAATCTTCAAGAAAATGAACCAACGTTAAACTAGTTTAACTATTTTTTTGTCACATTTTCCTTTTATCCCTTATCCGTGACCTTCACAACGGAGCTTATAGGTCGATTTTGTATCATATTTCTAAGAATAATGCAATTGAAATGCAAATCAAATCCGAAAAAGATATAAAATAATAAATATTTAGAAAAAAAAAATACATACAGTATAAATAGAGCCTGACATTAATTTATGATACTGCAAAACACTCAATACGTTTTTAGAAAAGATCAAACTTATTATATATTTGCAATAACATGTTTGCTTGATAATGATCCATACTTTTTATTGGCTGACAACAATTGCGAGGCATTCCAAAATTATATTTTATTTCTTAATAAAATACAAAATTCATGACGACATTTGCTTTACACGACAACGTCATAATAATGCAGAGGAAACTAGCGAAAGGCTTGATGTTACTTGTTATTTAAGTTTTATAGCCCTCATTTTTATCGCTTGGGGCAAAAGGGAAATAATTGAATCTTAGAATGTCTTGTTGCCGTTGACAGACAAATTCCCGATTGTCATGCTTTATCAGCATTTGTTGATTAATCACTTGTTTGGACATATAATTGGTACAAGAATTAACATTACTAAATCAAAACAATTATGTCGAAAGTCATTTGATAACGAATAAGCAGTATTTCTATAATTCTTTGGCAATTTAATTCTTTGTGGATATGTATGTGTTTTTAAAGATAACCATCTATTGGTTACTCATTATCTCAGTAGATGGTTGACTGTGTTAAAAGGTCAAAACCTTAATCAGTTCTCGAGATGAATAGAAATATGCTGACATGTGTTAGAGAAGTTCACAACTTTATAAAACGTTTACACAGCTGAAACAGTTCGACCTGCAAATAGTGTTGTTGAAGTTGTTTACTATTACATACGAATACATGAATAAATAAATGCAAAGTTCATGCTTGAGTCGGTCTTCTTGTTTTCATGTTATCCAGAGTTGCATAAATCATGTTTTTGTGCATCAAATTCGTAATTATATGACGCGAAAATCAAGAATATCGAAAGCACTCGAAGGGGATTTTCATTTTTAAAAAAGTTATTTGATAATCACTAGAAAAACAGATTCTTACATAGTTACTCGTGGATTACCAGATTTATCCAATATCGATTGATAAATTAAGGAATTTTAACGTTCTCGACGATCCTCTTTTCAGAAAGCGGGGCGGAGAGGGTAGAGTATGATAAATTACACTAATCTCATTTAAACGTAAATTTTTTAAATAGTTGACGTTTTAGGTCTATAGTTCAAAAATGTAAAAGATTAAAAAATCTTTTGAAATATTAATTTTTGAATTGTTAAAATACTACACGGACACAATTTAAACCTTTGTTCAAACTTATTCTCACAGACAATCTAAACAGATATCTCAGAGAGATACTATAAAAATTACTAAAGACACACAGTTTTGTCTCTTGAATATGTTTTAAACGCCTCACAAATCTTTGTTATCAAAATACCTTCCAAAACAAAAGAAACAGATTTAAAGATTACTCTTGTGAACATACTAGACTTTTATTGTAAAGTTTAGATGTTAGACTTTGACAAGCTTGAATTAATTAAGGAAACACCAGGTGGTATTTCTATCGATGTTTTTTAAGGGAGCCTTTGTTCATAAAGTATCGTATTTAAAATATCTTTTGAATTCAAACAATATACGTAAGCTTATCGTATATTGTTCTTATATGATTCAATTAGAATATGCACTGAAGATCACAACAAAAGTTTATAAAGGGGACGCATGGGACGGGAGGGTGACATGTATGTACTCATTTTTCTTAAAGGGAATGGTCAATCTAAATTATGTAAATACTGATGTCCAGACTATTTTGTTGTAGTGTTTACGTAATACAAAGCAAAAGCCAAAAGAATTATAAGAAGATAAGTAAGCAGCCAAAAAAATAATAATCTCCAAGTTCTACAGAGACAGACGAACTCGTCATTAAAAGAAAAGTAGACAAACAACATTCCAGAAATATTTGTGCGCTTTGATATAAATATCTATTTGAAAAAGATTGAAACAGAAACGTTATACATCTAAACATATATAGATGTAAACAAAAGGGTCAAAAGTATTCCTTAAAACGAACAGGTACTGTCGGGAAACTAGTGAACCATACAAACTTTGATATCATCAGTTCTTGACAGTTTTTATGATCAGGTTATCTGACAAACATATTGTGTATCAAAATATATTCACAATATGGAAGCCAATTCTAAATTATGGAAATTAATGATTCTCCTTTACTCCCTTTTAACAACATGAGCATGATGAGTGGATACGCGTACTATGTCATATACCATTTGTGTGTTACAATATGATAGCCTTACATATTTAGTGTTTTTTTGACTATTCATTACTGTGCATGGGCAACAATCTTCAATCTACAGATATGAGTATAAAGCAACGAAATAATTAAACAATAAATTAAAAAAAGAACAAAATATCTAGAAACACAACAAAGACCTTCTAAAAAGAGCACACCAATGTGTTTAAGATCAAGCAACTTAAATCAATGACAAAAGGAATAACCTAATTGAGGTTATTTATTTCACCATTAGAATATACTACATGTATTTCATTTGTTGAAAATGCAAAACTTTGAAAATACAAATAACGGAAATATCAAACACCCTCTAGTAAGCAGGAGTTTTGTAGCAATTAATCTGTTTGAAAGAATCAAAGCTATCAAATCATATTCCTAAACAGCCTACCATGTAACAGTTGTTTTTGTCTGAGACAATCTATCAACACTACTTTCATGAATCCGTTTCTCCCGATTAAGTAAATGTCCTTGTTTTAAGCTTAAGGGACAAAACTAATATACCCTTCTGTCACTCTTATTCATATTTACAAATTATTTACAATACATGAAAAGAAAAAAACAACTTACCTCACGGCATAGAATACCAGCTAGCAATTCGGAGTTGTAAGTAGCAAATCTTGAAATTGTTTGATAACTCTCCGAGTTTAATATCTAAACTACACGTCAAAAAATCAGAATTTTCAAAACCATTTTGAATATTTAAAGTCTCTCAAATAATTCCGAGTAACACTTCAGGGTGTCTTGTTATTAAATGATCGATACACAGAGTATTTGTCTTGTTTAAACTATATGTTCGCTTGGGTAGATACAAATGCCACTTGGTATCATTAGGTATTTAACATATCTTCAATATTGTTTGTAAGTCAAATTGTTTGTAATTCTATACGTCTGATCCTTCTACCCTTGTGTAATTTAAATGTTGAAAATACAGAACAGAGACCAAAACTGTGATATTATAAATCAACAAATTTAAATGCTGATATAACAAATAGAAAAATCAAATGGTTATCCTCATGAGTCTGCACTAAAAATACAAAACGCAAGGAAATGCTTTCAGAATTATTTCAACTATAAAGATCTCTTTTACAATCTACAAAATGTAATGAAATTAATTTACGGTGACATACAGTACCCGTTTCAGATTTGTTGAAATTGGAAAAAGATGAAAAACAATGACGACTCTTTTCCAACGATTGACTTATCACGAGTGCAGAAGTGATATATGGACTATTTTACAATAATCCTAATTTTCTTTTTTAAGCAAATAATTTGACTTCTGGCGTAAGCTTGAGTACGTACTTTCATATAGAAATAATGAGGTGTGGTATAATTTTCAAATGAGAAAACTATAAACCAGAGTTCAAATGTGGTAGGGTTAATCAGCACCGCCCTCATTCATGGTCTACTGACGTTAAAACCTTTGCATAGTTTACATTTTGAAGTTTTTGATAGTTATGTCAGTGGTAGGGGAACTAATTATGATAAGTAAATGATATTTGCTATTCAGATGTATTAATATTGCATATCTTATTTACATGAAGATTATTTCCCCTTTACTTTCAGTCATGTTTCATAGACTTTTAGACTTGCATAATTACATGGTGAAGTATTGCTATTCTAATTTTCAGAACTTTACATACTTCTATCAACTTTCATACAGGTGAGACATATTTCTGTGTCAACAATTTTGTACTTGTTTTAAAAAAAAACATGAGAAACATTGAGAGATTAGTTTAAAGTTTTTTTATAATTGGGAATTTACGATACAGTTCAAGTTGCTGGATCTTGTTAACTGAACTGCTATCTCCGGGAAGCGCACTCAAATGTTACATTAAATTTAGTATAAACATTGACTGCAGTATCTCTTCTTATTCATGTTATTTGTCCAGGTATTGTCAAATTAATTGTATTTTTGTAAATAACCTATTGGATTCTAGTTTAAACTTAACACATATTGTTTCCTTTTTACAATTATAGACTGGCCCTAGACCAAACAAAATTGGTGGCTGCACATGCAATTAGGAGTTACACTTATACAAGTTATGTTTATTCATTTAATCGTCTTCAAACATTTAGTTACACAAGTAATTTAATACATGCCAGTCTTTCATTGTCAAGGAACATTAATGTGTTTCCTAAGGGTAGTAACTAAACAATGGATTTCTAAATACAAGGCTACTGTGTCAATTTTGGAATTGGCAACAAAGCCTATTCTACTAATCAAACAAACATACATGTGGTCTGTTGTGTATAAAGAATGAATTAGGGCTTTTGTAGAATTAATGGTATGGGTTATTGATATTAGATTTTGATGGGTGGCGATCATTTACGAACGATAGTCTATGGGGTGTTGGTATCAAACGTTGACGGTGGTGATTATTTTCAAAATATAGCCTAACAGTTATTATAAAACTGAGAATGGAAATGGGGAATGTGTCAAAGAGACAACAACCCGACCAAACAGCAGAAAACAGCTGACGGCCACCAATGGGTCTTTAACACAGCGAAAAAATCCCGCACCCGGAGGCGGGCTTCAGCTGGCCCCTCAACAAAATGTGTACTAGTTTAATGAAAATGGACATCACACTAAACTCCAAAACATATAAATGAACTAAAATTAAAAAACATACAAGACTAACAAAGGTCAGAGGCTCCTGACTTGGGACAGGCGCAACAATGCGGCGGGGTTAAACATGTTTTGTGAGATCTCAACCCTCCCCCTATACCTCTAGCCAATGTAGAATAAACAAACACACAGTAATACGCACAGTAAAACACAGTTTAGAAGAAGTCCGAGTCCGATGTCAGAAAAGGTAACAGAAGAAACTAAACAAAATAACAACGATACATAAACTAACAAGGGACTACTAGCAGATACTGACATGCCAGCTCCAGACCTCTATTAAACTGATTGAAAGATTATGTCTTCATCATATGAAAATCAAGCACAATCCCTCCCGTTAGGGGTTTAGAATCATACCATCGTAAAATATACGAGAAGAACATAACCTGTATCATGCCAACAACTGGGTTTAGAATAAATGTGTTTATTTCAGATGCAAAGACCCTGTGAGTGAATCAATATTAATACCAAAGTATGCCATCTTTAATGAACTGACAACAGTATCATAACAATATCCCTCCTGAATAAGTCTGCTTAAAGGTTTGGTTAGCTTTTTTTAGTAAATGTTTTGACTAGTTTGTGATATCGAAAACCCTGGTGTAATAATTTTTCAGTAATACAGAGATTTCTTTCGTTTAATTCAAATACTTTGTTACATACACGAGCGATCGAACAAGTTGAGATATATAAACACCATAAGATTGTGACAAGGTCACATCACCATCTAGAAATGGATAATTAACAATAGGAAATGAAAAATCATCTCTTTTATCATAAATTTTGGTATTAAGCTTCCCGTTAAAGATATAGATATCAAGATCCAGGAAAGGGCAGTGTTCATTGTTAGTATTAGCTTTATTTCAAGTTAGTTCAGCAGCATATATCTCTTTAGTGTACATACTGAAGTCGCCATTATTGAGAGCCAATATATCATCCAAATATCTAAAAGTGTTATTAAATTTTTTTATCAGATATCGTTTCGATGGGTCTTTGCTAATTTTAGTCAAAAATTTAACTCATAACAATACAGAAACAGTTCCGCAATAAGTGGTGCACAGATAGTCCCCAAGGGAATACCCATAACTTGACGATATAAAGAATCTCCATAGCTAACAGAAATATTATCTAGTGAAAACTCAAGGACAGTTATAGTATCAAAGCAGGTCTAATTGACATAGTTATTTTGTTTGTCGTTACTAAACATTGACCTAAAAGAATTTGAACATATATATTTGCATTCTGACTTTTTAAATACCCATTGAATTAGGTGTGTGAATTTTTTCTTAATAAGATTATGAGGCAAAGTGGTGTATAGAGTAGAAAAATCAAAACTTTGAACAGATTCGAAATCACCAATATAAGCATGCAATTTATCAAGTACTTCCAACGAATTTTTGACACTCCAAAAGTAAATAATTCCACTATTTTCAAAAGCCTTATTTGAACAATTTATTATCAGGTTTTTGATTGTACCAAGTGTACTTGTAAGTTTTACGTCAAACAATAATGATATTATTAGCAGCCTTATCAGCCGGGACAAAATCAAATTCCTTGGCGAGTTCTTTTAGCTTAAGTTTGATACGAGAAATAGGGCTATTATGGTTGTTGTTGGGAGTGAAATGTTCGTTAAAAAAAGAGGGACGAAAAATACCAGAGGGACAGTCAAACTCATAGATCGAAAACAAACTGACAACACCATGGCCAAAAATAAAAAAGACAAACAGACAAATAATAGTACAGATGACACAACATAGAAAAACTAAAGACTAAGCAACACGAACCCCACCAAAAACTGGGGGTGATCTCAGGTGCTCCGGAAGGGTAAGCAGATCCTGCTCCACATGTGGCACCCGTCGTGTTGCTTATGTTATTACAAATCCGGTAAATAGTCTAATTCGGTAGGTCACATTCGTGAAAAGGAAAGGGTATTGTAGTTACGACATAAGGAACATATCCGATATCATCTGTGAAACGGTTATTCCATAACGGTCAACCAACTCGTGATGGCGTCTGTAAAATTTAAAATGTTGAATACGAATATCAACTATGTTCATTACACAGGCAAAAGTGCCACGCATGATATACGCACGAAGGCCAATACATGCGAAAGTCATGCGTGAATCATGCGTAAATCATGCGATATATAAAGTATGCGTAAATCGCATGATCCTCACGTGCGGTTTTCGCACGTATTTCACATGCGTGTATCGCATACTTTTTTAAACGCATGATTTACGCATGAAGGCTATTACAGGCGTAAATCATGTGTGAATCATGCGTAAATTGTGCGTTTTTTGAACTAATGGTTAAACGCATGATCTTCACATGCGCTTTTCGCACGTTTTGTTACATGCGTGTATCGCATAATTGTAAACGCATGATAAACGCATGAAGGCTAATTCTTGCGTTAGTCATGCGTCAAATATGCTCAATTTATGTAATTTCTGTACTTACTTCAATTTGATGATTATGGGTTCTGTTTTTTGCATGTATTTCAACATGTGTGTTATAACATATTGCAAATGAACAAATAACCTATGTTTATTAAACAATGCTTCAGTCATGTCTAAATAATGATTTTGGGTGTAAACTTACTAGCAACTTAAGGCATGATGTTGGAATGTATGTAATTGTCAGAGAAATTTTCAATTAAAATTCCAATTTGATGTTTATATACTAAGATTCAAACCTTTTAATAAATAAAATCATTCTTGACCATCATTATGTGGCAATTTTATAGCATATTGCTTCATCTAAGATTTTTTTTACCGATTGACTACAAAATGTTTGTCTCAGGGTGAACCTGAAAATGGTTAACAATGAAAAGCAGATTTTGTGACCCCCTAACAGAATCACTAGACATAATAAATTTTTAACCAGCAATATTTCATCTTAAATTTAGGAAGAACAATAATGAACATTTTTGATGATTCAGACTGTAAAACTTTAATTGTTCTTCAACTCTTTCTTTACAATATTTTACTTCAATGACAATAAATTGCATATAGAATTATGGTTTAAAAATGTTAATTATGATAATCATTGTAAGAAAATAAGTAATTCATTTGCAGAATTTTACAATACAAAATATTCAACTATATATTACTTTTTTATTTACCTGTAAAAACTATCAAACCTCAAATTCACTGAAACTATGAACTAATATTTATTTTGAAATATTCCAAATTAACTATTCAACCATAATTTTGGGTGACCAAATAAACATGTTATTTTCATAAATCAAAAAAAAAATACACCAAGTTCCAGGGATTTCATTTAGCATTTGTAATTTCCTATTAATAATTGCAGTCAAAGTTTGTTAATGTACATTTCTGTTTTTGAAAATATGTTATAAAAATATGAATACTATATAAAAGCCTTTCAGGTAACTTACACCTAAGATGTGACTAAGCTTTCATATAAAAAAAAATGTCTGAATGTCATGCCATAAAAGGCAATAAATAATCACAATTTGTAGATTTCACAAAATGAGAGTTTGGTGTCATAGAAAAGCATTTGCATGATGTGTTAATGGTACAACTTCAAAAGTGTTAAAAATCCCATAATAAAGTAAGAATTGTTTACTCAAAATGTTGTTATATAGTTTTCTGATATGATCATTACAGGTGAATAAAACATCTACAAGGTGTAATAATAATACAAAAATACTCAAATTCCACTATGTTTAAAGACTGTCAATTCAGCAATAAAACATCTCCAAATAAATAATTACATTTCATCCCTGTACATTTTGCAAGTATTTAGTTCAGCCATAATGAAAAAAAAAATGTTTGTATTCTTAATTAACATAAGCATTGCATACAGGTAGACTCACAAAGAATATGCAGTTTTTTCAAATTTAAATTTGTAAGTCTCATGAAGTGTAATAAATGTATAAACACTTTTCTTAAATATATGCATACCAAAAGTGGTATATAGTAATAAAATCTACACCTCACAATACACTTTTATCATTGTCCACCATTAAACATTTATACGCAATAATTCATGAATATCAGTCATAAGGCTGTTCAATTAAAATTACTTTTTAATTATTTTTAAAATGGGACACTATGTTGCTTCTGCTTGCAAAAGAAAAGAGGGTGCACTTTCATCCTGAATAGAATAATTGCAGGATTCATAAAACCGACATTAAGTAATGATTTCTAATAATTTGTAACAATTCCTTTCCATGGTTTACTAAAGTCTCATATCTCAACAAGTACAATCTATATTATAAATGAGAACATTCTATACAGAATTAAAATGCATTGATATAACATATGGAATAAAGTACAATTTACACGAAATAAAATGTCTACTTAAAATTAAATAACTGGATTTTGGAACACACATGTATCATATTTACATCTGAGAATAAAAACACTAATTTTTTGATGTCATTTTAAGTATTAGATTTTGAGTTAAAGTGTCAGCAACATAATATAAATGTTTTCTAAATTCGTCATAAAGAGGACATCTTGATTTAGCCAATTAAACCCGTAATACACTATCCGTTAAGCTTTGATTTTAGTTGACAAGAGTATTTTAATAGTCTAAGAAAAGTATTAAAAACACGAAATTAAACAAAAAAGTTAAAATCAGAGATCTATACAGTCTACTTGTAAAATTGACAAATATATAATCAGTTAAGGTAGATCAGGGTTCTCTTTACCAAAAAAAAAAACACAATAGAATTTTTACTATTTTGTCAATACATTTTTTATTGTCATTCCTTTTTGAATAAATATAATAAAAAATGTGGGTCACTTACATTTTTTCAAGCTTCAGGTTTAGAAAATTTTTCAGATTATCTTATTTATCTCCACTTAAATTACAAAGTTGGGCTAAACTTGAATCAAACCATAAAATATTCTGTTTTTTGTGAAATCATTTATCTGATATCATATAAAACACATAGTGTTCTTCATAAAAACAAGCAAAGTCTTGCAAATAAAATATCATCCCCTATAAGATGTGCATATAACAAAATATAATAAAGTCTTGCTGGGCTAATTTTTTTTCTGATTTTTAACAATCCAAGATAGAGGAAGACACCCAATCTACCTTAACATATTTTAACATCATGTGAAAATCTAAACTTGTTCAAATAATAGATCATATTAAAAGGAGAGTGATACCCAATTAATTTTTTTATATCTGTTTTCGCCTGCTCAAAAATTACTGTCTGAACACACTCTTTCTTGTGGCTTCCACCAGACAAACAGTCATGTATAATGCATATTTTTTGCAATACATTCTCTACTTTAATAAATTTGAAGTTATTTGATAATTTCAGTTTTACAGCTTGAAATCCCATCCTTTCATCCATTGAAAGTATTTCAAATAGTTGTACCTTCACAATTTGGAATATTTCCTGATCTCCTTTGATATGGTACCCCTCATTAAAAAGACCAATATATATCTGTAACAAAAAAAATTACATGATATCAAAACATACTAATGCTATATCTGTATCATAACCAACAATTCGATTTCACAATTACTAGGTAACACACATTTTTAAAGGTGAAAAAAATATACTGTTTTTAAATAATTCAGATGATTGTTATGTACAAAAGTTTTAGGAAAGGTGTTTTATTTTATCAACAAGCACTGAAAATGTAATGGTGTAAGTATTCTCCCTGCTGTCTGTGTAGAATATTCCCAAAGTATCCAAATGTATTCAGATTTGAAATTTTACAGTTTATTGACACACTGAAATTCAGTTTTACCTGAGTATACATTTCTTGTTACAATATGTTTCATTGATTCATTGATGTATACACCGACATTTCATTTTTCTGTAATATTATACAAGTATTGACTTTTGATTAAGTTGATACAATGATTTATCAACCCCAGAGATATGATATTCACCGAGGCCAACTGAAATCAAAAGTCAACAATTGTTTTATTTTATGACTTTTTATTCTTCTCCAATTTTCAAGTATTTGCTCAAGATAATGTTTAAACTGCTCCTTGTTTTTATACTAAATATTTCATGTACTTTTGCAGTTGCTAATTTTCATAAGTTGAAATATTCAATAAAGTTTATTAAAAACAAATGCACGAAAATCTAGAAGAGAAAAAATACATTGAAAACAAGAAGAAAAGAAAAAAAACTGGAATTTACTTGAAGACATAAAACTACGTCATTGACGTTGCCTTGGAATATCTATATTAAGGTACACTGACGCTGTTCCAAATCTTATATCAACCTCTCGTGTTTTTTGCCTCGGTGAATAAAACGTTTTATCACAGAGGATTTTATATGCTTTTAGCCAATGAGAAAAGAGAAAATTTATAGTCATATAATAACAGAATATTATTGCATGCATTTGTTATTGCAAATCCTTGACCTTTATCAAAATTTGAGAAATAATTAAAGTGATTGCAAAAATTTTATGAAGGAAAATTCACTACTGAAATGTAAATGCAAGATATTATTATTGTGAAATTTGTACTTACACATTTTATGAATTGATAAAAAAAAAACAACATCACAATAATTTCTGAATTAACAGTATTAATATCTGTATAAAACATACATATCATATCACTCAGTCTCATCTCCTTATTTTTATTACCTTAGCACTGTCATTTTCATCTTGGCAGTAGACAGGGTTACCCTGGTTAATTACTTCCCCATTCTGGCATTTTACAGCATGATATGATGTCATTACTAATTTACTGCTAGTCTCAATGCTGTAAACTAAAGCTGCATTCAGAATTTCATCATCAGTTATCTCCCTTATAACCACTTTTCTGTTTTCTGATCTTTCAGCCTTTATTAATGTAGCTTTCTTTATTTCTGTCCCATCTGTTCTTTGGCCTAAAAACGATTTAACCTCATTCTTGACAGACAAATTCCTAACACTGGATGAGGCTTGAACCCTGTGAGAATAATTGTCCTATTAATAACATTTAGTTTTGGAATTTCCATTCATAAAATCTTCTTTTTAAAATTTAATGACAAGTTGCTGGTGCATTTTTTTCCCTGATATAGTTTCCACATTCAATAATACTTCTATCTATGTTAGGTGACAAATGGATAGCTCATTTAGTGTTGATTGGTGCTGTAGAAAAAACATGACATAGCACTTTTGCATGATGAGGCATTACTACAGATCGTTAGAAAGATATTCATATTTTCTTTTATTGTAGTTAGTTATTAAATTTTATCCATTTTTGTGCTGCATCATTGAAAATATCCATTGTTGACCAATGAAGAGGAAGGAAATTATAGGATTTTTTTTTACATATGAAATAATTGGTTATTACATGTATCTGATTCTAACTAGGTAATGATGTATTTATCGGCAATTTGTACATTTTCCCTTTGATCTTACTGCCTATTATTTTCAAGATTATGGACAGGATTTGATACTCAAAATTCTAATGCAACATCGTTTGTAAGTTACATTTGATTGGATAACATCACCAATGTATATGGCATTAATTCACATACTAGAGACGCTTTCTAAATATTAGGCAACAACGTCATGTAACTAAGCATGCTACTTATATCTAGCTATAATTTCTCATGTTTCTGTCATCAAATGTTGATACCTTATAACTGTTTTCGTATGGCAATATCAAAAGCTGTACTATCTCGTCTTTTTACCAAAACCTGAACTGTTTGCTGATAAATGATAAGACTTCTATGTAAGTGTAGCTGTTTTATGTATAGGCTGGTGCGATTTAGAGCTTTAAAAATACTAGTGTCAAGCTATCCAGCAATTCTCATCCTGCAATTCTTTTTATAAAAAGCTATCCTGCAAATCGTCATCCTGCAATTGCGTTTGGAAAACTACTTGGGCGACCATTTTATTTTTCTTTAAAATCATAGTTTTTGACTTTTTTGTTCGAAAACAAGATTTATATAGAAAATCAAAGATTTTTATATCCCATAACAAAATTCTAACTTTAGTTTGAAGATTTCTAACTCATATTTACGGTTTTGTAATTACCATTTACAATAAATAAAATCATGATGACGATTCAAACAAAGTATTATCTGTTAAGTCCAGGATGTGATTCGTATTTACGCATGTTTTATCCACATTTGCAATTTTCAAAAACTCATATTAACGACTAAAAATGTAGAATTTGATATAAAATAAATTTTTTCATGGTAAACCGACAATATAACTTCTATTTGAAACTTCATAACTCACGTTTCCGACCCATTGCCTCGACAGTTCTGTGGCTAGGGATTATAGAGACTGCCCTAAAAAATAGCTATTAGATAGTACTACAGCGGGAGGGTAAAGAATTTCTGGGGTAAGCATTCTTAAAGGCCGAAAATGTCGTCCGAAACATGGAAATAAAGCCAAATTCGATAAAATACGCATTGGGGAAACCCACTTTCCGACCCATTGTCTCTGTAGTTCTTTATGGCTAGGGATTATAAACGCTGCCCTAACGTATAGCTATTGGATAGAACTACAACGTGAGGGTAAATAATTTCTGGGGTAAGCATTCTTAAAGACCGAAAATTTCGTCCGTAACACGAAAAAAAAGTCAAATTTGATAAAATACGCATTTGGGGTCATCCACTTTCTAACTCATCGCCTTGGCAGTTCTGTATGGCTAGGGATTATAGATTCTGCTCTAATAAATAGCTATTGGATAGTACTACAGCGGGAGGGTAAAGAACTTCTGGGGTAAGCATTCTTAAAGGCCGAAAATGTCGTCCGAAACATGGAAATAAAGCCAAATTCGATAAAATACGCATTGGGGAAACCCACTTTCCGACCCATTGTCTCTGTAGTTTTTTATGGCTAGGGATTATAAACGCTGCCCTAACGTATAGCTATTGGATAGAACTACAACGTGAGGGTAAAGAATTTCTGGGGTAAGCATTCTTAAAGACCGAAAATTTCGTCCGTAACACGAAAAAAAAAAGTCAAATTTGATAAAATACGCATTTGGGGTCATCCACTTTCTAACTCATTGCCTTGGCAGTTCTGTATGGCTAGGGATTATAGATTCTGCTCTAATAAATAGCTATTTAATAGTACTACATCGGGGGGGGGGGGTAAAGAATTTCTGGGGTAAGCATTCTTAAAGGCCGAAAATGTTGTCCGAAACATAGAAATAAAGCCAAATTCGATAAAATACGGATTGGGGAAACCCACTTTCCGACCCATTGTCTCTGTAGTTCTTTATGGCTAGGGATTATAAACGCTGTCCTAACGTAAAGCTATTGGATAGTACTACAACGTAAGGGAATGAATGTCTGGGGTAAGCATTCTTAAAGACCGAAAATTTCGTCCGTAACACGAAAAAAAAAGTCAAATTTGATAAAATACGCATTGGGGGTCATCCACTTTTAAACTCATTGCCTTGGCAGTTCTGAATGGCTAGGGATTATAGATTCTGCTCTAATAAATAGCTATTTGATAGTACTACAGCGGGAGGGTAAAGAATTTCTGGGGTAATTATTCGTTAAGGCCGAAAATGTCGTCCGAAACATGGAAATAAAGCCAAATTCGATAAAATACGCAATTGGGAAACCCACTTTCCGACCCATTGTCTCTGTAGTTCTTTATGGCTAGGGATTATAAACGCTACCCTCACGTACAGCCATTGGATAGTACTACAACGTGAGGGTAAAGAATTTCTGCGGTAAGCATTCTTAAAGACCGAAAATTTCGCCCGTAACACGAAAAAAAAAAGTCAAATTTGATAAAATACGCATTTGGGGTCATCCACTTTCTAACTCATTGCCTTGGCAGTTCTGTATGGCTAGCGATTATAGATTCTGCTCTAATAAATAGCTATTTCATAGTACTACAGTGGGAGGGTAAAGAATTTCTTGGGTAAGCATTCTTAAAGGCCGAAAAAGTTGTCCGAAGCATAGAAATAAAGCCAAATTCGATAAAATACGGATTGGGGAAACCCACTTTCCGACCCATTGTCTCTGTAGTTCTTTATGGCTAGAGATTATGAACGCTGTCCTAACGTAAAAATATTGGATATTACTACAAAGTGAGGGAATGAATGTCTGGGGTCAGCATTCTTAAAGACCGAAAATTTCGTCCGTAACACGAAAAAAAAAGTCAAATTTGATAAAATACGCATTGGGGGTCATCCACTTTTAAACTCATTGCCTTGGCAGTTCTGAATGGCTAGGGATTATAGATTCTGCTCTAATAAATAGCTATTTGATAGTACTACAGCGGGAGGGTAAAGAATTTCTGGGGTAAGCATTCGTTAAGGCCGAAAATGTCGTCCGAAACATGGAAATAAAGCCAAATTCGATAAAATACGCAATTGGGAAACCCACTGTCCGACCCATTGTCTCGGTAGATCTTTATGGCTAGGGATTATAAACGCTACCCTACAGTACAGCCATTGGATAGTACTACAACGTGAGGGTAAAGAATTTCTGCGGTAAGCATTCTTAAAGACCGAAAATGTCGCCCGTAACACGAAAAAAAAGAGTCAAATTTGATAAAATATGCATTGGGGGGTCATCCACTTTCCAACTCATTGCCTTGGCAGTTCTGCATGGCTAGGCATTATAGATTCTGCTCTAATAAATAGCTATTTGATAGTACTACAGCGGGAGGGTAAATAATTTTCTGGGGTAAGCATTCTTAAAGGTCGAAAATGTCGTCCGAAGCATGGAAATAAAGCCAAATTCGATTAAATACGCATTGGGGAAACCCACTTTCCAACCCATTGTCTCTGTAGTTCTTTATGGCTAGGGATTATAAACACTGCCTAACGTATAGCTAATGGAGAGTACTACAACGTGAGGGTAAAGAATTTCTGGGGTAAGCATTCTTAAAGACCGAAAATTTCGCCCGTAACACGAAAAATAAAAATTAAGTTTTATAAAATACGCATCGGGGGTCAACCACTTTCCAACTCAATGCCTTGGCAGTTCTGTATGGCTAGGGATTATAGATTCTACTCTTATAAATAGTTATTTGATAGTACTACAGCGGGAGGGTAAAGAATTTCTGGGTTTAACATTCTTAAAGACCGAAAATGTCGTCCGAAACATGGAAATAAAGCCAAATTCGATAAAATACGCATTGGGGAAACCCACTTTCCGACCCATTGTCTCGGTAGATCTTTATGGGTAGGGATTATAAACGCTGCCCTAACGTATAGCTATTGGATAGTACTACAACGGGAGGGTAAAGAATTTCTGGGGTAAGCATTCTTAAAGACCGAAAATGTCGTCCGAAACATGGAAATAAAGCCAAATTCGATAAAATACGCATTTGGGTCACCCACTTTCCGACCCATTGTCTCTGTAGTTCTTTATGGCTAGGGATTATAGACGCTGCCATAACGTATAGCTATTGGATAGTACTACAAAGTGAGGGTAAAGAATTTCTGGGGTAAGCATTCTAAAAGACCGAAAATTTCGTCCGTAACACGAAAAAAAAATGTCAAATTTGATAAAATACGCATTGGGGGTCATCCACTTTCCAACTCATTGTCTTGGCAGTTCTGCATGGCTAGGAATTATAGATTCTGCTCTAATAAATAGCTATTTGATAGTACTACAGCGGGAGGGTAAAGAAATTCTGGAGTAAGCATTCTTAAAGGCCGAAAATGTCGTCCGAAACATGGAAATAAAGCCAAATTCGATAAAATACGCATTGGGGAAACCCACTTTCCGACCCATTGTCTCTGTAGTTCTTTATGGCTAGGGATTATAAGCGCTGCCCTAATTAGTGACCATAATTTACTCATAGAAAAGGGTAGATATCTGAAAATACATCGAGTCCAAAGAACATGTATAACTTGTAAAACCTTAGAGGACGAAAACCAGTTTCTCCTCTACTGTCAAATTAATAATTTATTACGTATAAAACTTTTTCAGGACATCGCAATAAATAATCCTATATTTCCGAATCTGTCTGATACTGAAAAACTAGTAGTCCTGTTAGATCCTTCGAATACAAACCAAGTGAAAAAACAGGTTCCTTTATAAAACAGTCTTTAGGTCTGAGGACAAGGGACTCTTAGTTATTTTTGCGTGTTATATATATATATATATATATATATATATGTGTGTTCAACTCAGTTATTTTTTGTTGTTGTTATTTTTTGTTTTATGTCACAAGTATCATTTTACTTATATGACAATAAAAAATTATCATTATTTATATTTCAAAGAATCGAATGCTCGCATCTTAGGATGTTTACGCCAAAAAATCTATTACTAGTATATCTAAATCTAGTGTTATCTAATAACTTTTTCACGATATTCATTTTGACAGTCATACTGTGAAATGGCCGTCCATACTCTCGGCATCCTGTAAAGTAGTTCCTAACAAATAACAATATGTCTATGTTAAATGAGTTACTGATATTATCTGTATTATAGCAGATGTCTTGTGAAACAAAACTAAAAGAGTGTACTACGCATTTTTCGTGCAAGTGGCTTGCGCTTGAATATAATAAGATGGTGGGTTTATTTTTTGTAATCAATGTATGGCAAGCAAACAAAACATAAAATTAATTTAACCTATGGCGTACTATCACGTTGTAGTTGAACCCAATGCGTATTTTATCCCTAGCTATAAAGAACTACCGAGACAATGGGTCGTAAAGTGGGTGCCCGCAATGCGTATTTTATCGAATTTGGCTTTATTTCCATGTTTCGTACGAAATTTTCGGCCTTTAGGAATGCTTACCCTAGAAATTCTTTGCCCTCTTGGCGTAGAACTATCCAATAGCTATTTATTAAAGCAAAGTCTATAATCCCTAGCCATAAAGAACTGCCGAGGCAATGGGTTTGAACAAGTGGGTGACCCCAATGCGGATTTTATCAAATTTGACTTTTTTTCCGTGATACGGGCGAAATTTTCGACCTTTAAGAATGCTTACCCCAGAAATTCTTTACCCTCACGTTGTAGTACTATCCAATAGCTATTCATTAGGGCAGCGTCTATAATCCCTAGCCATAAAGAACTACCGAGACAATGGGTCGTAAAGTGGGTGCCCCCAATGCGTATTTTATCGAATTTGGCTTTATTTCCATGTTTCGTACGAAATTTTCGGCCTTTAGGAATGCTTACCCTAGAAATTCTTTGCCCTCTTGGCGTAGAACTATCCAATAGCTATTTATTAAAGCAAAGTCTATAATCCCTAGCCATAAAGAACTGCCGAGGCAATGGGTTTGAACAAGTGGGTGACCCCAATGCGTATTTTATCGAATTTGGCTTTATTTCCATGTTTCGTACGAAATTTTCGGCCTTTAGGAATGCTTACCCTAGAAATTCTTTGCCCTCTCTGCGTAGAACTATCCAATAGCTATTTATTAAAGCAAAGTCTATAATCCCTAGCCATAAAGAACTGCCGAGGCAATGGGTTTGAACAAGTGGGTGACCCCAATGCGGATTTTATCAAATTTGACTTTTTTTCCATGATACGGGCGAAATTTTCGACCTTTAAGAATGCTTACCCCAGAAATTCTTTACCCTCACGTTGTAATACTATCCAATAGCTATTCATTAGGGCAGCGTCTATAATCCCTAGCCATAAAAATGGAACTACCGAGACAATGGGTCGTAAAGTGGGTGCCCCCTATGCGTATTTTATCGAATTTGGCTTTATTTCCATGTTTCGTACGAAATTTTCGGCCTTTAGGAATGCTTACCCCAGAAATTCTTTGCCCTCTCGGCGTAGAAATATCCAATAGCTATTTTTTAAAGCAAAGTCTATAATCCCTAGCCATAAAGAACTGCCGAGGCAATGGGTTTCAACAAGTGGGTGACCCCAATGCGGATTTTATCAAATTTGACTTTTTTTCCGTGATACGGGCGAAATTTTCGACCTTTAAGAATGCTTACCCCAGAAATTCTTTACCCTTACGTTGTAGTACTATCCAATAGCTATTCATTAGGGCAGCGTTTATAATCCCTAGACATAAAGAACTACCGAGGCAATGGGTTTGAAAGTGGGTGACCCAGTTTCAAATAGAAGTTGTATTGTCGGGTATACCATGAAAAAATTATTTTACATCAAAATTCTTTATTTTAAGTCTTTAATATTAGTTTCGAAAGTCGCAAATGTGGGTTAAACATGCGTTAATACGAATCACATCCTGGACTTAACAGATAATACTTTGTTTGGATCTTCATCATAATTTTTTTATTGTAAATGCTAATTACAAAACCGTAAATATGAGTTAGAAATCTGCAAACTAAATTTAGAATTTTGTTAATTGGATATAAAAAACTTTGATTTTCTGTATAAATATTGTTTTCGAATATGATTTTAAAGAAAAATAAAATTGTCGCTCAAGTAGTTATCCAAACGCAATTGCAGGATGACGAATTGCAGGATAGCTTTTTATAAAGAGAATTGCAGGATGGGAATTGCTGGATAGCTTGACACTAGTTTTAAAAATGATATATACACTTGTTTAGTTGTGTAATAAGTGTATGTGTGTGCATGTGTGTGTCATCGGTGTGTGCTGTATACGATTGAACGTTTTTATTTTATTATGATAAATCATTTTTTACATACAACATGTACAATTATATTCGCTGATTTGATCATGTCCCATATTTAAAATCTTACCTAACTAAAACCAATATGGGACCAATATGGTCTTTGTCGATAAATATAAACATTTAAATGTCCTATATTGTAAAAATTCCACGAAGCATTGAAATTGAGATGCAGTTTTATATTAAAAAATACATGTGACCACTTTCAGAAAGTGGATGAAAATTACAATGTCTATATTTATACTATAGTTTATAGCTGTATGTGTCTATAAATATAAACTGGGGAAATGGAAAATATGAAGAGATCTTATACAATGTAGGCATAACATTAAAAATAGTTAAATTTTGCACACTTACGCAATTTCAATTAAGATGAAATCATCACTGGAAGACAACGAAACAACAGATCTGTGAACAAGGGGAGATAAATCAATCACAAACTGACAAGGAAAAAAAAAGAAAGTAAGAATGTGAGGATAAATTATTGCGCGGATCGACGGTCGATCGCATTATTCTCAAATAATAAAAAAAAAAAAACTCGCAATAATTCCTGAATTTACAGTAAATCAGAGATGGTCAATTAACGGCCAGCGGCACACACTACATGCATATTCAGGCACTTATAAAAGGTTCTTCGGTAGCCAAGTGGTCATGGTGGTGTAGATGTACTTCATCAGCAAACACTGGCCTGTCAACACAGAGGTTGAGAGTTCGGACCCCGCTCATAGCAAGTGCGTTCGTTTCCTATCTTAATTGGTCGGTGGTTCTCTCTCCGAGTACTCCGACTTTCTCCACCAATAACGAAAGAATGAAAAATATTCGCATAGAAGCTACATTTTTTATATAAACAGAAAAAAATCGAGGCTTGTTACGCTCATCCGTATTAATTGACATGTTCTCTGTAAACTGACCAAACGGAACATTTACGGATATTCAGAAGTTGCTTAGGATACAGTGATTATTTGTATAAAATGCTTTTAAGCTCACCTCATTAGATATTGCTATCGCTTCGCGTCCGTCGTCGTCAGTGGAATGTTTTCAAAAGTATTGCCCTCTAAAACAATTTCTAACAAACTTGGGCTGAATGATTTTTCGGTATTCGTGAACAAAATTTGTGTTGTTTAGTTCTGCGGGGCAGCCCCGTTATTCCGACGCCCCTTTAGTCCGACACCCCATTAGTCCGACACCTCATTTGTCCGACGCCCCAATAGTCCGACACCCCAATAGTCCGACACGGAATAACTGAACAACATTTTATATATTTTTAAATTAAAAGGCCTGGTGACGTGTTCATTTAATATAATAATTGATTGATTCATGTTTAAGTAAATGAATAAATAATCTTTAGTTCAAGAAGATAATCCCATTAGTTAAAACTAATCTTATTCCTGAGAGTCCTCAAAATATGATAATGACATATTCATAAAAAACATAAAATATTATAATGATATATACACAATATACACTTTCATGTAAATATTAATGAAAAAGCATGTGTTTGCTTAACGTCCAGTGGCAAATATTACATGTATGTTCAGGACCAGAACAATTTAACAATAAATACAATAGGTAGGTCCTGTAATAGAGGCCATCCGGGATGAAAAAAGGTCAAGGAAATTTGGACTGCCACTGTACAAAGAGAGTATATTGGATAGGGACATACATTTTGCCTTGCAACAGGATCAGACAACAGGCACTCTCTCTACACGAGGCATCGGATTGAACGTCCTCACTCTGACAGTTGTTGAAAATAATACATCCCGCACAGCCAAACGGACGCCCAACTTTGGCAAGGGTCTACTGCCAGTCGAAAGAAGACCAAAGTGACCATATTTTTATTCCCACTTCACCATTTAGTTCATTTTATATTAAAACTCACTTGGCCTTGTCGATCGAATAATTAAGAACAGGTAATGCAATTTATCAAGGTAGGTTGGCAGACATGTATTAGTGAAAAAGGTGGATATATTTACCCAAACAACATATAGAAGATAGAGACGCGGACCTCATGTCTTGTGTGACTAAACACGAGTATCAATCTAACTGTATTGAACATTTTGTCAAACTAAATATACGTTGTGAAGTTTTATTGAATTACTAACACGAAGATACGCGGATCTGTGTATCTCTTCAACAGCAGAGAATTAAGAAAGTTAAGGCTCCTATTAGGCTTTACTGTCTACACGATTGTGTGTGTGGTGCTTGGTTCAGCCTACAGAATTATTTTGAGAAGAACGTCAGTTTAGTTTGTCTTTATGCAATAATGTTTGTACTTAATTGAAAATTGATTTATTTAAAGTTAATTCCATGAACTCTTAAGACATTGGGAAAACAGGTAAACCTAATAGAACTTCGCTGAACTAGTATACATTTTTTTAAGGGCCGGCAAAAGCCTGCCTCTGTGTGCGGGATTTTCTTGCTGTGTTGAAGACCAATTGGTGGCCTTTGGCTGTTTTCTGCTCTTTGGTCGGATTGTTGTCTCTTTGGCACATTCCCCATTTCCATTCTCAGTTATTTGTAAAGTTTGGTGCCTTCTCCGTAAGGAAGCTGTTTTGAGTATACGAGTTCACAACAACAACAAAAACGTGCTGGTAAATAATAATAAGAAAAACAGGTACATTCCTGTGTCAACGTCACGAGAAGTGGCGTGGGTTGCTAGTGTTATTTTCATATCGCATGTTTGCTTGTGTATTGATCTTACTGAATCATAGGTCATTATGTAGTTTGGTGTATTGCTGTCAAATTTAAGGATTAAATTAATCTAGGTCAAAAAAGCTTGAAATTGCTGTTCGGACTATATTCAGATAGTTCACTTTAATTCTTTTTATAACTTTTTCAAATCAACTTAGATTTTCACCTTACTGTACAGCTACCTTGGTAATATATTAATCGCATCAAAAGACAACCGATACGTTTTGTTTTAAAAGAGACAACAAAGAAAACGAATGAAAATACATACTTAGTATGTACAGAAAAAAAAGCTTTGTTGTTTTATGAATATGCAATTACAAATATTATCGCTTATGTATACAGTACATGCACATGGCTATTTGTACATGATTGTTATTCATTCGATTGTCTAATAGGATTAAAAACAAAATTCAAGTACTCACAAAAGGGTTTTGTGTTCGTACCGGACGACAAAGCTCTAACCAATGTGGTGGTGGTATGACATAAATACTACACATTTAAGTCCTTATGAATGAAATTATACATCCAACTACATTCGTTTGAATTCAATGCCGTACGCTCAACAGAGAGTCATATAGTAAATAATCATGCCACAACCACAGCTCAGCTTAAGGCCTCTTCTGAACATTTGAAGGTCCCCACTATGTATTGGTTACCTAAACTACACAAAAAAAAACTTGGTTACCTAAACTACACAAAAAAAAAACCCGTAAAATATCGTTTGATTTCGGCCTCTAGTATGTGTTCTACTACTAGAAGTTCAGTGCTTTTAACGAGTTCCTTAACTACTATCAAAGAACTGATCATTAATGTTTGTAATAAGGGACCATTTGATTTTTTTTTCACTCTATTCGGTTCTGCTTTTTTATTAGTATATCCTGACTTTTTTTACATAAATTATCATCCTGCCTTTTTTTTTTTGCAAAGTGTCTCATCCTGCCTTTTTTTTAACTCAAAACTCCTGTCCTGCCTTTTTTTTAAATTTCATCCTAGCCCCCCCCCCCCCCCCCCCCCCCCCCCCCCCCCCCACCCCCCTAAAATTAAATTGGTAGCTCCCTAAAACATATGAAAAAAGTGGAATTAACCATTTTTTTAGTGTAAAAAATGTCTTGGATGTTTTAGATAAATCACGTGCATGTGATGGACTTTTTGATTCGGTTGACAGTTTTGACTTTTCCACTCTTTCTACTACACTTCCACACAATGTTATCAATCAAAAGTTTTCCTATTTAATTAAATTGGCGTTCGGTAAATCTAATTGCAAATTTATTTGCTGCTACTCATATAAAGCCTTTTTCTCAAACGAGAAAGGTAAATATGCTTCATATACTTACTGGAGGTGAGATGAGATGATTACAGCCATAAATGTTCTCCTTGTCAACATTTATGTACATTTCGGCAATATAGTTTATCGACAGATTGTAGGTATTCCTATGGGAACCAAGTGTGCCCCTTTAATAGCAGACTTGTTCCTGCACTGTTATGAATCACAATTTATGGCCAAACTCAGTAAAGACCCGTCTAAATTCCATTTAATTGATAAATTCAAAAACACTTACCGTTACCTTGATGGTCTTTTTTCGTTAAATAATCAAGAATTCTCTAAACATACTGCCGAAATTTACCCACAGCAACTTACTTTTAATAAATCAAATATTAACAGCAATAAGTGTCCTTTCCTAGACTATTCCAATTTTACACCAGAAACTCTACACAAACATTTACGACAAAAGGGGGGATTTTTCTTTCCATTTAATTGTTCATTTTCCTTTTTTGGACGGTGATGTTCCTCTGGCATCATCTTATCTCGTTCGTTATGACCGTGTCTGTAGTGACGTTTTGGATTTCAATGAGCGTAATCTATGTATTACTGGTAAATCATTGAGTCAGGGATTTCGGTACCACAAATCATTTAAAACCTTTACTAAATTCTTCCATAGATACAAAGATTTGGTTTGCAAGTTTTGGCTGCACCTGCAAAAAACTTATTTCAGACGGAACAGCACATCTTAAATTTTACGGTGATGTTGTTTACCGAGCCCAATAAATTTATATACGATCCGGGTAAACTTATCAATCCTTTAAATAAACTTATTCTAAAATGTTACCAATTCAACACTGTAATTATATCTTTGAATATTGTTTTTATTGGTATAAATATTGATTTTGTTATCAGACAATCAAAATAATACTAAATAGTTTTGTTATACACATATGCACTTTAACGGTACTACAATCTGTCGATACCTTTATTTTGGTATTGCACAAGGTCACGTTATTCTCTGACTGTTAATGACGTCTTTACACTAAATCCATTGGATGGTGGATGTGTACTGATTGATATTTTAGTCTAAGATCTAGTAATTGATTTTGTTATTAGTTGTTATTGGCTTTGAACTAGCTGTCGGTAACCGTGAGTACTCTCAGATCTGTAATTTATGTCCTTTTTGTTGTTAGGGATGAGGGATGAAAAAATACCCTTCCACGTCCGGTCTGTGTTTATTTTTGATGTATTTCTGCTTTGTATCGATCTGATGAGTTAAGCCCTTTTCAACTGATTTTTAAAATTTGTGCTGTTACACCACTGTCCCACCTTAGGGGATGGTTGAGCGCTCACAAACATGTTTAACCCCGCCACATTCTTTAATTGCCTGTCCCAAGTCAGGAGTCTGTACTTCAGTAGTTGTCGTTGGTTCATAGATATAAGAAGATGCGGTATGAGTTGCAAATGAGACAACTCTCCATCCAACCATGTCTGTTGCATTTGTTTCTCGTTAATTGTTTAGTTATAATTAGACCGTGAGTTTTCTCAATTGAATTTTTTAATATTTTTCCTGTCGGGGCCTTTTATAACCGACTTTACGGTATGGGTTTTTCTCATTATTGAAGGCCGTATGGTTGACTATAATTACTTACATCCACTTTTTTTTAACTTTGGTGGATTGTTGTTTCATTTGCAATCGTACCCCATCTCCTTATTTTTATATTATAAGAAAGAGTAGTTCAAATACCACGTCAACAACGATTCTATGAAGTAGATTTTCTATTATGGCAGTAATTAACCTTTGTCGGACTATTGGGGCGTCGGACTAATGGGGTGTCGGACCAATGGGGTGTCGGACTAATGGGGCGTCGGAATATCGGGGCGACCCCAGTTTTGCCAATCAGCCAATATGGCCGCCATGGTTTAAATAGAACTTTTTTTATAGTTTGTTTTTATGTTGTTCTTTTACGCTACTGTCCCAGGTTAGGGGAGGGTTGGCGCTTTCAAACTAGTTTAACCCCGCCACATTCTATATGTGCCTGTCCCAAGTCAGGAGCCTGTAATTCAGTGGTTGTCGAATTTTGCTGTATATATTATATTTGTTTTTCGTTCATTATTTTGTACATAAATCAGGCCGTTAGTTTTCTCGATTGAATTGTTTTCCATTTATCATTTCGAGGCCTTTCATAGCTGACACTATGCGGTATGGGTTTTGCTCATTGCTGAATACCGCACGGTGACCTATAGCTGTTAAATTCTCTGTCAGTTAGTCTCTGGTGGAGAGTTGTCTCATTGGCATTTAAACCACACCTTCTTATTTGTATATGCATTGCAGTTATTTTTCATTAACTCATTTGTAAAATAAAATCACTATTTTGATAAGTCGAAGTTTAAAAATATAAATTTAAAAGCAAGTTAACGTGGATATGAAGAAAAGCTTTCGGAAGACAAGCAAATAGCCATTGTAAATCTTAGTGACAAAACATTCAAGTTTAATTTGACTTTGCCTATGTAAATTATTTGAATATCAAAAATTGAATAAAAATTAAATTCAATGTTGAAAAATTAAAATTTTTCCAATAAAATCTGGGTCATTATAATTTGTGATTTTGTCGTTTATAAATTATTTCTGATTAGACTATTTGCTTACAGTCGGTTTCGCTATTCTTATTTGTTGAAAACTACGTAAATGCATTATGCATAAATATTAGATAATTAATGACAGGGTAAACAAAGGGTTCTGGGTGCAAATTTATATTATAACAAATTGAGTTGTCTCTCTTTGAATATAGTTAGTATGCAGCAGGTGCTTCACGAATGTTGTTGGTGCATGTTGTTTGTTTCACATACATTTTTGGGCAAAGTCCAGTGCGACTTTTAACATTTTAAGCGTGAGTGAGGTCCCCATTTCTGCCCTTTCGTGCAATATGTGTATAGAATTGTTTTTGTGTATTATAGACCAAAAAAATCGCCCTGACAACAAATTAGACAAACCTTTTCTATAGTATAAAGCCATAAGCAGATTTTAAATGCTGTTAGTTTGTTTCTCGTGCTGTGTGGAGGCCGTCGAAAGTTTCCTCGTGCTTGACATGTATGCTCCTCTGTATTTTTAAAGTTATGGTTTATTTATTCTTGGGATAACTTCTCTTATGTGTGCCACATCATTCTCTCAAGTTTAGGCCAGTTTGTATACTAAAATTTTAATACGACGCACACCATCATTCTATTCTAGGTCCTCATTCCTACCCACGTTAAATTTTTCACTTCAAAACATTTTATGGAATCGGGATCAAAATACCTGCATTTATACATCAGACCCTACTGCACTGGTTACCGGAATTTTGGATACACCAAACCAGGAAATTTATATCTAAGAAACAGGCTATATGTACCCTCAATTTTAGAATTCATTCATACATTTTTGTATTGTTCAAAATTATCAGTAAATTGTGTGTTCTACAAGGATCACCAGTACTTCAACTTTCATCTGATACCTTAATTACTAAAATATATGCTACATAGTTTAAGATTTACCTTTATCCGTAGGAACTATTTTGTTTTAAATATGTACTACTTTCCAGTATGTTCTTTACTGACCGGGCCCGATTAGGTGGTGTTACATCTTACAAAGTCTATCCAAATTATTTTTGCAAAGAACTCCGCTCAAGCCGGTGCTAGGGGCCGTCTTGAACTTGCAGTGAGGTGATAGTTTGCTTTGCTCCGTGTTGAAGGCCTCACTGTGACTTTGAGATGAAGAACAGCAATAAAAGCGCTGTTCCTTAGCTTTTAGTGTGTGTTTGTTTGTTTGTTTTTTTTTTTTGTGCATTAACTGATTTTGTGTCATGGATGGATACTCCATATCCTTTGTTTTTCTATTTTTCTATTAATTAGTTAGAATAAACATTTGTCTTCGCAAATATAACTTGAAACACAGGCACTTGGTGAATAGACCTCTTTTCCATATTTGTTTTAGCGATTTAATTTTTGTGTATATTCTTATATAATTTTCTTTATAAGATATCTAGTAAATTATATTAGATATCTTATAAACTATATAAGATATCTTATAAACTATATAAGATATCTTATATAAAAAAATATTTATAAGATATCTCATATACTTTATAAGATATCTTATAAACTTAAGAAGATATCTTATAAACTATATGAGATATCTTATATAATATATAAGATATCTCATATAATATATAATATATCTTATAAAAATTAAATTATATAAGATATCTTATATATTAAATGAGATATCTTATATATTTTATAAGATATCTTATACATTAAATGAGATATCTTATATATTTTATAAGATATCTTATATATTATATGAGATATCTTGAAATTCGAATAAATAATAAAACGGCTTGCCATAGATTTACCTTTTCGGTAATGTTGGTGGTTTTACGAACAATCACTCAGCTATCAAGAAATAACAATGTTTCCCATCTTAGTAGCTATAACTTCGTCAAGTCTCAAGAATCAAATAGGAGTAGAAAAGAATACAATATACTTTATTTTCAAAGCAAAATTTATGTTAATTATGAAATGTTGTACACTGTATGTGTTTATTTGGCGAACTTGTTGAGGGATGAACCAAGATTAGAAGAAAGAGAGAGAGCCATGCTATGCAGATGCTCGAGAGATTTATATGGTCTCTTTGAACATTCTAAAGGGCATAGATTTGAATCAATTTTGGCTGGTACATTTTATTATTGAGTGTTATATGGACGGACTAATGACATGAAATAAAAACATATTACAATACAAAATCGTTAATATATTCATCAAGCATGAAGTCGATGTCTTTGAGAGCTTCAACGGCAAGTGGAAGTACGCACACAAGTCCACGGAATAATGACTGCTCCCGAGGAAGTATCTTTCTTGCCCAGACGGGATGAATCACAATTTTGAGCGGAGCTTCCGGTTTCATTAATTCTTGTCCATTATTAATTTTCTTGCGTATGTCTTTTTTTATTTGTTTTTGTTTTTCGCTTTCACAAATGGAATGAATTTGAAGCAATGGTACATATTATTGTGTAAATGCTTCTGTGAACGTGGTTTCCAACTGATTCCATTTTCGGAAAATGACATCTGTAACAAACATAAACTTTTAGCTACCTCTTTACAAGCAGAACCAAATACAATGAAAGTTCCAACTATATACTGGCTTCCGAAGCTGCACAAAACTCCTTACAAATATAGATTTATTTCGTCTTCAAGCCATTGTTCCACTACTAAACTATCTATTCTACTTACTAGTACATTTGGTACAATCGAAAACCTGGTAATAAATTGTTCAAAGAAGGCCTTTGAAAATAGTGGAATTAATTACTTTTGGAGTGTCAAAACTTCGTTGGAAGTACTGATAAATTGCATGCTTATATTGGTGATTTTGAATCTGTTCAAAGTTTTGATTTTTCAACCCTATATACCACTTTGCCTCATAATCTTATTATAAAAGATTCACACACCTAATTAAATGGGCATTTAAAAAGTCGGAATGCGAATATATATGTTCGAACTCTTTAAGGACATTTTTTAGTAACAACAAACAAAAGAACTATGTCAATTGGACCTGCTTTGATACTATAACTGCCCTTGAATTTTTACTAGATAACATTTTTGTTCGCTATGGAGATTCCGTATATCGTCAGGTTAGTTATCGGAATTCCCATGGGAACTAACTGTGCACCACTTATTGCGGACCTGTTTCTTTATTGTTATGAGTTACAATTCATGACTAAAATCAGCAAAGACCCATCGAAACAAGATCTGATTCAAAAATTTAATAACACTTTTAGATATTTAGATGATATGTTGGCTCTCAATAATGACGACTTCAGTATGTACACTAAAGAGATTTATCCTGCGGAATTGACTTTAATTAAAGCTAATACTAACAATGAACACTTCCCTTTCCTGGATCTTGATATCTATATCTTTAACGGGAAGCTTAATACCAAAATTTATGATAAAAGAGATGATTTTTCATTTCCTATTGTTAATTATCAATTTTTAGATGGCGACGTTCCCTTGTCACCATCTTATGGTGTTTATATATCTCAACTTGTTCGATTCGCTCGTGTATGTAACAAAGTATTTGATTTCAACGAAAAAAATCTCTGTATTACTGAAAAATTATCACACCAGGGTTTTCAATATCACAAACTAGTCAAAACATTTACTAAATTTGATCATCGGTACAAGGACATCATTCGTAAATATAAATCAACATGCAGACATCTTATACGTTCAGGTATCTCACATCCAATATTTTATGGTAATATTCTTTACAAAGCACAAAAATGTCGGCATTCACCTCAAAAGCTAACCAAACCTTTAAACAGACTTATTCGGAAGGGATATAGTTACGATACTGTTGTCAGGTCATTAAGGATTGCATATTTTGGTTTTAATATTGATTCACTCATAGTGTCTTTGCATCGGAAATAAACACATTTATTCTAAAACCAGTTGTTGGCATGATACGGGTTATGTTCTTTTCATATATTTTATGATGGTATGATACTAAACCCCTAACGGGAGGGATTGTTATGGAACGCCAAAACTGTCTTGTTATGCCCATTGTCATTATATGATGTGCATTTACCTTTATATGATGTGCACTTGTCATTATATTGTGTGCAAACACCTTTATATGGTGTCCAGTTGACATTATATGATGTGCAAATATCCTTATATGATGTGCAAATATCCTTATATGGTGTGCAAACATCCTTATATGATGTGCAAATATACTTATATGATGTGCAACAGTTACTGTACTTATATGATGTGCAAATATACTTATATGGTGTGAAAATGTACTTATATGATGTGCAAATGTACTTATATGATGTGCAAATATACTTATATGATGTGCAAATGTACTTATATGATGTGCAAAGATCCTTATATGATGTGCAAATGTACTGATATGATGTGCAAACATACTTATATTATGTGCAAATATCCTTATATGATGTGCATTTTCCCTTATATTATGTGCAAACATCTTTATATGATGTGCTTGTGTCATTATATTATGTGCATGTAACATTATATGATGTGGTTCGGATTACTTCATTATATGATGTCAAAACGTACTTATATGATGTGCTTTCATCGTTGTTATGGTCAATGAACATGATTACGATTAGAATGATTACTGTCTACGTCATAACTGATTCCGATCTGCTTCTCCGGAATTACTTTAAACCCGGCTCAAATCTGTAACTAATGTGTGGAAAATGGAAGAGATAAGCCTTGGCACGTTGGTATATCGTTTTAAAGATGAACAAATCACATCTGATATTGTTGGAAAATTGTCAATATATGAATTGCAAAGTTTAAAATTAATTAACGGGTCTACAATAATGAACCTAGTGATACGGTTTAAGTTATTAAATTATGAGTCCTATACTGTGCACTGAGAACCTGGAGTTCAAATAATTGATCTACCAGAGGATATTCTGCATTTTTTTTTTGAAAGCCAGTTTACTGTTTCTGATCTAGCAGGTCCAGCCTCGTATCAGCTTCCGAAAGTGCAATTTATAGAAAAATGAGACAGTGCAATTTAATAAAAGTCAACGTTTCAAACATTTCGGAGGGAGATTTAGATCCATTTATACAGGAGCTAGTTGACGAATTTCCCTGCTATGGCGAAAATATGATAAAAACAAATTTTATTGCAAAAGACAGCTATACCGATATATACTAGTGTTCCCTCTTTTTGAATTGCCGCTTTATCTTAATTCATTTCCTATACCAATTAAATCACAGTCATTTAAAAAAGTATTTCAAAACAAAAGCTATAAAATTTTCTACTCATGCATAAATATACTGGTATGGATGATTGATTGAATGATTGATTTGTGTTTAACGCCACTTTCAGCACTGTCGTGCTATTTCGTGGCGGTCAGTTTTTATTGGCGGGGGAGGAAGCCGGAGAGAACCACCGACCTTTGGTAGAAAAACTTACAAATCTTGTCAATTAAGTTTGGAGTCGAGCGTACCTGTCACGTGCGGAATTCGAACTCACAACTTAAATGTGGACAGGCAAGTGATACAGTTATTCGACTACTTAGACCACGCGACCACCTCGGCTCCCTCGGTATAGATGAAAAGAGATATGGAAAAAAAAAGAAATTAAATTGTTTTGTATTCTGTGACTTTTCTAAAGCTTTTGACATAGTTTGGCACAGATGCCTTATATTTATACTAAAAGCTTATGGTTTTTACGGAAGCTTATTATATTTGGTTGAAAATTATCTACATGATAGAAAACAGAGAGTAGTATTGCATATTTCGACTTCTTCCTTCTGTGATGTCTTAGCTGGTGTTCCTCAGGGATGACTTCTGGGCCCTCTTCTCTTTGTCTTTGTCTATATTAATGATATTGCTGCTAAGCTTACATCACTATGTCGGCTATTTGATGATGGCACATCATCAAGTTATTCTGGTAACGACGGAGAACAGATTAGATCAGTTGTCGATCGCGACCTGAAAGAGCTGGGTGTTTGGTCTACTAAATGGCTTATGTCATTTAACCTTGATAAAACCGAAATTATGATTTTCTCAAATATTGAGTTTCCAGACCTCAGTTTTTCGTTAAATGACGACGACGAGGGGGGTTAACGACCTTGACTACCCATGAAGTTCTTGCAAGGTCGGTTACTGAAATGGTAAAAATATCCCTTTATGAGATGTAATTCTTTAGATGGTAAAAATATCCCTTAAAGTACATCTGAAAAGCACCGGGGAGATAATTTCAGTAGTGACGCAAAATGGAACAATCAAATGGAAAGTATAATTACAAGTGTATAGAAACACTTAAATGTTTTGCGTAAACTTAAATATCGACTATCTCGACTATGACGTTTTTACACTAAATTCATTGGATGTTGGATGTGCTAATTGATAATTTAGCTTTTTTCAACTGATTTTTTATAGTTTGTTCTTATATTGTACTGTTACACCACTGTCCAGGTTAGGGGGAAGGTTGGGCGCCCGCTAACATGTTTAACCACGCCACATTCTGTATGTGCCTGTCCAAAGTCAGGAGCCTGTAATGCAGTGGTTGTCGTTTGTTGCTGTGTTACATATTTGTTTTTCGTTTATTATTTTGTACATAAATTAGGCCGTTAGTTTTCTCGCTTGAATTGTTTTACATTTGTCATTTCGGGGCCTTTTATAACTGACTATGCGGTATGGGCTTTGCTCATTGTTGAAGGCCGTACGGTGACCTATAGTTGTTAAATTCTGTGTTATTTGGTCTCCTGTGAAGAGTTGTCTCATTGGTAATCAAACCATTCTTTTTTATATCTCGAAGCAATTTAGATAAACTTTACCTAGTTTTTATTCGACCCATTTTTTGAATATGCCACGGAAGTGTGGGATAGTTGTGGAATATACTATTCACATAAATTAGAAAATTTGCCATTAAAGGCCGCAAGAATTGTAACTGGTCTACCAATTATCACTAAAACTGAAACCTTATACTCTAAGGTTGGCTGGGAATCTCTTTTTGAAAAAGAAGAAGAAGAAAATAGCATATGTTTTATAATGTGAACCGAAAACATGCATCAGAATACTTATGTAATCTTGTACCTCCATGTGTACAAAGTACAACCAACAATTCGTTGCGAAATGATCATGATATTATTGTTCCATTTTGTAGACTTTCCCTTATTACTGAATCGTTGATTCCCTCCACAATAAGTGAGTGAAATAAACTTGATCCAAAAAATTTGCAGCGTCAACTCTATAAATAAATACAATAATAATATAATGAGCATACATGTAAAGCAAACAGTTAATATAGAATTTTGGAAAGCCAATAAGATTATTGAGTCAGGTTTTTCTACTTCTTCGTTTTTCAAAAATACACCTCATGTAGAAAAACCTTACTCAATAATCTTATTGGCTTTCCAAAAATTCTAAAGACTGTTTGCTTTACATGCATGCTCATTATATTATTATTGTATTTATTTATATTGTATTATGGAGAAGACTTCATAAGTATGATTTACTTATGTCTAATCCATTTTGCTCCAATTAAGCAAATAAAATACGTTTACTAAAAGCAGATATGGTATGAAATTAAACTCGGTGCATTGCAACTGTAAACAGGGCTAAGGCTAATTTTCTTTTTTTTTCGGGGGGGGGGGGGGGGGGGGGTTGTTTGACTCCAAATTTCTTGAAAAATACATTATTTGTTTAAGAAGGGAAGCAAACAAAATAGTTTGTTTCCATTGACAATGACTTTCCTATTTAGAGGTAGTTTCTTCTATAAGCAGTTGATACACAAATTTCAAGTACAAAAAAATGTGTATTCATTTTTTGTAAATTTTGCATTGCTGATTATTTAAAATAGCTGTTCAAGTTTCTCTTTATATATAACTTTTCTCGAGATATTATATAAAAAGACGCAAATATGGACAAAAATCGGACATTGGAAGGGTAATAACTCCTGTAAGGCACCGGACATTTGTAACCTAAAAGAGGGGATAGGGGAAAAATGGAAAGGGTATCAAATTTTTTATACGAACGCAAACATTTGCGGCCGAATGTCGTCGTCGTCGTCGTCGTCCAATACATTTGGTTTCCAGACAATAACTTGCGTATAAGTGTATGGATTTCTATCAAAATTGTTCCACAAGGTTCCATACCAACAATGAAGTTTGGGATTGATTTTGGGAGTTATGGCCCAACTGTTTAGGAATTAGGGACCAAAAAGGGGCCGACACAATACTTTTCTAATACTTTGTATAATTGCATATTCTTGACCAATTTCAATGGTGTTTAATTCAAAGTCTTGATTCTTGCGGTTCTTACATAATTATGTTAAATCTAACCTTGTAGTTAGATTTTGGATATTGGACCACAATAGGTAAATGTCCAATTTCAAAATTTAAAAATCTTTGACCACATTCATTCTGTGTCAGAAACCTATGCTATGTCAAATATCTAATCACAATCCAAATTCAGAGCTGTATCAAGCTTGAATGGTGTGTCCATACTTGCCCATACTGTTCGGGGTTCAACCTCTGCGGTCGTATCAAGCTGCACCACAAATTGAATGAAGGTGTGGTAAATATCAATGAGACCATAACCGGCATATCCAAAGATATTTTTTTGAAGTCACAAACAACTTCCACACTTGAAGTTATAGATCCACTACTGATGCAATATTCTATACTTATAATAGAAAAAGAAATTGTATTCATTATTTTGTTATAACGAAGTATTGAGAAATGCATGGAAGTGTGGGGTTTGAAATTTTTATATCTTTCGAGGGGACTTGAAAGAATTAGAGTAATTCTGATGTTTCCCCCCACCCCCAATGAAAAAAATACCAGTTCCTCGGCAGTTGATTTATAATTTCAGTAATGTGTAATTATTTATTTTTAAATCTATTTTTGCCTACCATTTTGCCAAGAAGGTTTCTCTTTAAATAAGTTATCAAGATAATAGGCAACAAAATAACAAAACTCATAAGAGCCCAAACTGCCCAAATGGGACCTTTCCTATAGAGCATATTCAGACTGTTTTCATAACACCCCCCTTTTTTTAAAACCTATTGTAGTTTTCAAGATAAACGCAAGACAAAACTGCCGTCCGTTGCAAACTGAATCTCCCCGAACTGACCCGTTATCGAGATATATAAAAAAGGGTTCACAATTATGGTATGCTTGGAGGGACAAATATATACAAAACATTATTTTTTACTTGTATAAAATGTGTTAAAAATCATATTAAGATACTCGCGTGGTCATCCAAAATCAATATGAAAAAGCTAGGGCTAGCTATTTGGACATTGCGGTAGCACCCCCGCCTTCAACCCACCACCCTCTAAAAAATATATGAACGGTAGGTACCTAAGTCCTTTTAATACTTCGGTGCCTTGAGTCGGGAAGTTTGTAAAAGCAGCTTCCCGTGAAATTTAAGTCCCAAAGACCTGGATGTTTGTTGAATCTGTAATAAAAATGTGAGCGAACGAAATGAAGTAAACTGTTCGCAAATGTAATGATTTTTACGTCCGAATTTAAATGCAAATGTAATGCATCGAGTTGAAGTTCATCACATTTCTCCTTTCATCCATCCCGGTATAATTATGCATGCATAGAAATGTTTATAGCTTATAATATAAAATACTGTTAAAAACGACTGATTTAATTGGTAAAGCAATACAGCTGAAGTTCTTTTATTTCAGTTTTGCCACAGCAGGGATATTTTTCGACTAGCTATTTTTTTGTAAAATTGGACTGTGTAATTATTTTCTATGAATTGATTGCACTGTCTCATTTTTTCTATAACTTGCATTTTCGGAAGCTGATACGAGGCTGAAGCTGCTAGATCAGAAACAGTAAACTGTCATTAAAAAAAAACGCAGAATATTCTCTTGTAGATTTAATACTTAAACAGGTACAGTCAAGGACCCATAATATCAATCTAACTAAAATTCATATCTATATAAACTCGCGTGCTCGTACACATATGAGTATAACGAAATCAGAGAACTATATTGCCATAAAATAATCACTGTAGCCGTATGTCAATTATTTTATAGACCCATCGATAAAACCTAAACTTTTCATGTTTTGACAATTTTCCAACAATATCAGATGTGATTTTTTCATCCTTAAAACGAGGAAGCAACGTGCCAAGGTTTATCACTTTTAAAATCTCATCCATTTTCCAAACGATAGTAACAGATTTGAGTCGTAATTCCGGAGAAGCAGATCGGAATCAGTTATGACGTAGAGGGTAATCGTTCTAATCGTGATCATGTTTATTGACCATAACAACGATGAAAGCACATCATATAAGTACGTTTTGACATCATATAATGAAGTTATCCGAACCACATCATATAATGTTACATGCACATGACACAATCACATCATATAAAGATGTTTGCACATAATATAAGGGAAAATGCACATCATATAAGGATATTTGCACATAATATAAGGATATTTGCACATCATATAAGTACATTTGCACATCATATAAATACATTTGCACATCATATAAGTATAGTTGCACATCATATAAGTACATTTGTACATCATATAAGTACATTTGCACATCATATAAGTATATTTGCACATCATCTAAGGATCTTTACACATCATATAAGGATCTTTGCACATCATATAAGTATATTTGCACATCATATAAGTATGTTTGCACATCATATAAGTATATTTGCACATCATATAATGTCAACTGGACACCACATAAAGGTGTTTGCACATCATATAATGACAAGGGCACATCATATAAAGGTAAACCGGCATAATAAGACAATTTTGGCGTTCCATAGATTGTACCTGATTTTCATATGATGAAGACATAATGTTTCAAAATCAGTTTGATTGAGGTCTGGAGCTGGCATGTCAGTAACTGCTAGTAGTCCTTTTTTAATTTATGTACATCATTGTCATTTTGCTTAGTTTCTTTTGTTACCTATTCTGACATCGGACACGGACTTCGTTTAAACTGAGTTTTACTGTGCGTATTGCTATGTGTTTCTTTATTCAACATTGGCTAGAGGTATAGGGGGAGGGTTGAGATCTCACAAAACATGTTTAACCCCGTCACATTTTTGCGCCTGTCCCAAGTCAGGAGCCTCTGGCCTTTGTTAGTCTTGTATGTTTTTTTTAATTTTAGTCCTTTATATGTTTTGGAGTTTAGTGTGACGTCCATTTTCACTGAACCAGTACACAATTTTATTTAGGGGCCAGCTGAGGACCACCACCCGGGTGCGGGATTTTCTCGCTGCGTTGAAGACCCATTGATGGCCTTCGGCTGTTATCTGCTCTTTGGTCGAGTTGTTGTCTCTTTGACATATTCCCCATTTCCATTCTCAATTTTATTGGTAACTTCCCTAACATGTCTATGAACTGGTCAATAATTTTGGTGTTTTTGACACTTGATGTTCCTTTGGCCATTTTGTAATTTGGTTCGAACTATAGTATAGTTTTTAATTCGAGTACACCTTGTGGTAATATCTGTTTCATGGTAAGAGCAAATTCTCCTAACGATATATCTTCTTCAGTATCCTTCAAGGATTGCACATTATCGGTGAAACTTTTTTGTTGTTGTCAATCTGAGCATCATTTTCTTGTCTACTTCTGGAAATATAACAGTACAGATTAATATATATAAAAAAGAAGATGTGGTATGATTGAGAAAACTCTTCACAAGAGACTAAATGACACAGAAATTAACATCTATAGGTCACCGTACGGCCTTCAATTATGAGCATAGCCCATACCGCATAGTCAACTATAAAAGGCCCCGAAACGAAAAATGTAAATCAATTTAACCGAGATGACTAACGACCTAAAATGTACAAAATAATGAACGAAAAACAAATATGTAACACAGCAACAAACGACAATGCATGTTTTAAATATCAATAACATGTACACAAAAGCTTTCAGACAAAAAAAAAATAAATTGATTTATTCAGATGAAAGGATACATCTAACGTACACCTCAAATATAACAGACGTGTCTTATATAATATCTATATAGCTTATTACAATGAAATACGCATTCACCTTGACCCTTCATTTATGTGACATTGCGGTTAATTGTGGTTTGTGTTTCGCTTCTTGAGAACTATTGTACCTACTATGGTCAAAATCGGAATGAGTCTAAATTGTGAACACGAATTCGCCACACTGCGTTTCAAATAAATGCCCCAATGGAACAAAGCATACAATCACCATAACTCTTGGTATGGGAAATTCAACATTTATTTATCAACTGTATCAATATATATTCAACGGAATCTTTAAACGTGGTATCCATATTCCTACCTCGACAATCGGTCACAGTAAGATAATTACCTCTATTTTATATTTCCAGTCTTTTCATTTTTCTACTTAACAGTTCGTTTGTACAGTTTTTGTATTCAGATTCCAAGATTTTAGATCTGAGTACAATCTTGGTTGTTTTTAGCTTCTTTAATACCGTGCTATTGACGATAACGTCCTGGAAAGTCATACTCAGTTTCCCTCTCTGGTGCAGAACCCAGAGCGAGTCTAATGCTCCCATATCATCAAATCCTACAGCTAAAACTATTCCTGAAAATGTAAGAAGTTGATAATAAAAAGTTTGTTAACTTGCTGGATGTAGATTTTTACATCGAGTTTAAAAGTACCCTTGAAAGTTTGTCTCATAGAAATCCACGTGACTACATTTTACCCATTACCACTCATTTTCAATATGGGTGAATTATTTTATTTGCTATTGACAGATTTTCTAGCAAACCACGTCAAACCAAGCCGTCGCTAGAACGCGTGTCTATCAATTACGCGGAGAAGGAAAACTCCTTCAAACTTATAAGGCACTGGTTACGATTACCAGCAAAAAATAACAATAAGAAATAATTATTGTTACTTCCAAGACTAATTGCTATTCTTGAAACAAACACGCTGGTCATTGATTTTACAACGCATTTGACAATGCCATTGAAAATGAAAAATTTGGAGATGTGGTATGATTGCCAATGAGACAACTATCCACCAAAATTAATAGCCATATCCATACCTTATAGTCGGCTATAACAGACCCTGACATGAAAAATAATTATTATAAAACAATTCAATTGAGAAACTTACGGCCTAATTTATAACAAAACAATTTACGAAAATAATATGACATACATGATGTTTGTCTCACTCTGATAAGTGCTACGTGCCTATCACTCATTTTCAACATTTAGCGAAAGCGGTGTATGCTTAATGTTTTTGCTTTCGTTGGTGTGAGTGGATTTTTGCAAGATTTTCAACAACCCCATAAGACTGCTTGAATCTTAAAAAATGATAACACGATAACAACATCCAAGCTGCATTATTTCCTGCGTATTTTTTTAAATTATTTTCGTTTAAATGATCCAAGACCGACGGTTTCGCCCGTTAACTGGTACAAGAAATCAAAACAAAAACAGGAAGTATTCTGAAAGTTGTTTTACAATTATTTCCAAATAAGAATCATTCTAGTATTCCATAGTTTCAATCACATTTATTCTTTGTTTTCAATCTCTGATGGAAAATACAGATTTGATACTGTTTAATGGGTAAAATCGACAATTTAGCTCTGTTTATTTTGGTGTTGGGCACTAATGAAGTGATTTGATTCAGATGTTGATAACTATTTAGTTTTAATGAGGGTCTGGATTGGAATCCTTCTTTTCTGTATTCCCTAACTGTTTATGCAATTTTTCTATATTCTTCATACTTTTTGCCCATTATTCTCTATTCTCTATATTTCAGAACTACATTATTCTTTATTCTTTATTTTTAGGTCCATTTTTCTCTATTCTTTATGTTGTTTGCTTATTATTCTCTATTCTGATAGCCCCTTCCACCCTCATTAATTGTCACCATGCATCGAGGGAGGGCCTTTGAAAGGGTTATAAAAAGAAGAAATTGAATTATTTTCCCATTTAATGCCTTCAATTAATGCTTATTTTGCTAACGAATGTGTCTGTATTGAGTTTCTATGAAGAGACATTAATTAATAGAACAAATATTGACCATGCATCATTAAAATGGGATTGCTCATAATTCTGAAGGCTTTTTTCCCCCAGATTCGACTAAATTCTCACATACTTTATGCTTCTCAATCAGGCACGGGTCCAGCCATTTTGAAAAGGGGGGTTATAATCCCCTGAATATCACTAAACGTTCACATAGATACAAAAATCGAAAAAGGGGGGTTCCGCCAGTAGTAGTATAATAGGGATAAGCAGCCAGTAGAGCAGGTAGAGCAGTAGAGCACTGAGTTTGATGACAAGGGTATGTTTGAGATGACGTCCATTTTGTTTCCACGTTACAGAATTTTGGGTTGTTACCCACATTTGCCTTGCTTGGCTAAATTGGTATTTGGCTAGAGTCAGTTAATACGAGAGAAAGTTGGTTGGTGACAAGGGTATGAGGGTGGCATCCATTTTGTCTCCATGACACAAACTACAGAAACTTGAGAAGAGATTAAACAAAGATTGAAGAACATAATTTATTTTTGATATCAAAAACTTATTTACATTATGTATACAGCACATTTAAAGTAGATCACCATTATATTGCAAAAACTGATTGAGTATTTTAACATGTAGTAAAAAAAATATTACAATATATATATAAAGTATATAAAAAACTTATATTAAAACCGGTATTTGAGCATACAAACCTGAGTTTGTTTCTAATATATAAAATTTTATAAAGCTTCTTCAATAAAAACAAATAGTTTTTTTAATTAACAAGAATGGATTTCTATAAAGACAAATGTAAAAGATTGCATAGTAATATGATTAACTAGATGATTTCAGTTTCTAAAATGACTACAAAATAAAAAGGAACTTGATGGAGTGTGATAGTAGATAAATTATGTTATAAAATAAAAATATGATTCACATGGTTTTGATGTTTAGAATGAAAACATATATGAAGCAAAAATTAAGTGAATGGAATGTTGCACCAGATAAAGTAACAAAACAAATAAAATATATGAAGGTAACATGGTTTGATCAACAACCGCAAATGCCTATTTTATCAATGTAAGAATGCATAGCACCATATAACTATTAGCACCAAAACTATGGAATATATGTAACGCAAAACTTTCTTTCTAAAATTTATCTTAGGGAGATCTGTTGAAATATACAAGATATAACTATTAGCACCAAAACTATGGAATAAATATAACGCACAACTTTCTTTCTAAAATTTATCTTAGGGAGATCTGTTGGAATATATATAACTATTAGCACCAAAACTATGGAATAAATGTAACGCACTACTTTCTTTCTAAAATTTATCTTAGGGAGATCTGTTGGAATATACATGATAAAACAATTAGCACCAAAACTATGGAATAAATGTAACGCACTACTTTCTTTCTAAAATTTATCTTAGGGAGATCTGTTGGAATATACATGATAAAACAAAAGTTTTTTTTTCCCCCTCAAACTATCATTGTAAATGAATAGAAAAGTTGAAGAAATGTATAACAGTTGTATTTTATAACAGCATGTCATCATAAGTACAAGTTTGTTACCCACTTTTACCTTGCTTGACTATATTAGTATTTGGCTAAGGTCAGTTAGTACGAGAGAGAGTAGGTTGGTGACAAGCGTTTGAGGGTGACGTCCATTTTGTCTCCACGTCACAGAACCTATATTTATTTTTTAAAAATTCAGATACGTGTTAAAACTCAAAATGAAAATTCTAGGGTTACATTATCAGGTTTTGCTTACAACAAAAAGAGGGCAGATATATATCTTATTATCTAAGTATGGATTGAGTAGATTCATAGAATTAAAACAGCTTCATGACATTGTTGAATTAACGGTTGAAGACTGGAAGTACAATTTAATTATACAATTATACAAATTGTAGGGACATCAAGGTGTGGAATATCTTTATCAGCCAGTCTAGCAAAGTTAATTATAAGTAGAGGCTTGGTGACAAAGATATGCATCAAATTTAGTAGTAAATAGAGCAGCCATTTTAATTTGTAAATACGTTGTATCATGCACATTTATTCCACATCTCAGTATCTTCCATAAAAGGCAAACCAGAAAATTCATTTATGTGATTATGTTTTTTTTTTTCATTTTCATCACCACTAGGTTGCCGACAGGAATATGTAGATTGCAATTAAATAGTATTTAAGTGTTGAAATTCACCGAGTTCTCGTAGAGATAAAAAAAATTGCTAGTGTCTTGACTATATTGGTATTTGACTGAAATCAGTTAGTAAGAGATAGGGTTGGTTGGTGACAAAGGTATAAATGAAATTCATCAGTAGATAGAGCAGTCATTTTATTTGCTTACATGCTGTATCATGTACACGTATTCCAAATCCGAGTAGTTTCCATTTAAACCCTCCACCTCAATAAAGGATGACTATACTCCAAGATTCTAGTCGTTCTCCATATTGGATTTCATATTTTACTGCTCTGTTGGATCGTTGTCTAATAGAAAGGTTTGCCGCATATTTTCTCTTCAATATAAAAGAATGATTATATATCTATATATCAAGGTGCTAGGCTTTCTCTGTATGAGATTTTGTATTTTCTTGCTTTGTTGAAAATTGTTGTCTCATTGACAATTATTCCATCTCTAAGTATATTCCATATAACGATACTAGAAATAACATCTAGATAACTGGCATTATACATTTTCAGTAGCACCATGTCGGTAAAGTATCAGAGTATCAACCAGAAATATAGTATATTTTTAAAATAGATATCAGAATACTACAAAAAGTCCACCTTAACCATATGCATGAAACACCAAATATTTTTAAACACTTTTTATCTTGAGTTTAACACAGTAATGTATTTTTTTAGCAATAACAAAGCACCAAATTTTACAAAATTAAGTTTAGTAGTACATGTAATACAATATGTCACTTGGTGCCTCCAAAACGCAATAAAATGTTTCTAAACTTTTACAACCAATATTAATACATATACATTTCTTCTGAGTACCATAACAGTACAAAAAGCAAAGAGAAATAAAATTGAGAATGGAAATAGGAAATGTGTCAAAGAGACGACAGCCCGGCCAAAGAGCAGAAAACAGCCGAAGGCCACCATTGGGTCTTCAACACTGCAAGAAAATCCCGCACCGGAGGCGGGGTTCAGCTGGCCCATAAACAAAATGTGTACTAGTTCAATGAAAATTGACGTCACACCAAATTTCAAAATATATAAATGAACTAAAATTTAAAAAAAAAACATACAAGAGGCTCCTGACTTGGGACAGGCGCACAAATTGCGGCGGGGGGAAACATGTTTTGTGAGATCTCAACCATCCCCCTATACTTCTAGCCAATGTAGAGTAAACTAACACACCAGTACGCACAGTAAAACTCAGTTTAAAAGTAGTCCGAGTCCGATGTCAGACATGTGAATAGATTTCTTGAATTAATGAGATTTGATTGAATTATTGACTGGACAAAAACAGTCACTTCCATACACGTATACGCCTTTGAGTATAACGTCCATTAACGAAAAAAAAAAATCAAAACATCTATCAACTTCTATACATAAAATTGCACTACAATAAAAGACATTTCACCTGTATAAAGTATCAAAATACAGACACAACCGAATATTAAAGGTCATTTTTCAAAAAGGATCACAGCTTAGTAAACCTAGGTTTACGGCACCATTAAAATGATGAGATGGTGTGCATTTCTC